CATAGCTTCATTCCAAGTTGGGCTGTAGGATCTTGTGAATTGCTCTGGGTTTATACCTACTTGCAGACTAAATGACAGTATAATACATCATCTAGAAGAATCTGCAAGCAGCCGTCTCAGACATCTTGAGTTTCTCCACACTGTTGCTTAAGACAAAATGAATTTAATATAATTATTAGTGAAGGCAAATTGTAAGGACAGAATGCAGGAAGCCCATTAAAATGTGAACACTGAAATAACCCAGTGATTGGGCTTTGGTTCTGTCCTCGCCCCTTCACTCATCTTAGGAGCTGCTTTGTATTAAAAGTAATATATCTGCAGGATGGTGTTCCAACGTGAAACAAAATGAATTGCTTGTTTTCTTTTCTGCATTCTTCCAACCTCTGCATGTGCAGATCTCCTGTGTATTAACAACTTCTATCAATTGCTTATATGCAGGAAAAAAAATAGATATTAATGAAATATCTAATGAAACTTAGATACTAAATGACTGTTCACCATTAAAAGGAATACTCTTGAAGTTTATGGACCTGTCTTCTGAAATGTTGGTGTCATCTTACATCACTAAAACTATGCAAATACTTGCCTGATTTCCTACTCCTGGAGTGTTTGCACGCAAATAATCACTTTATTAAGAAGTATTCCATATGAAAAATGCTCTGCTTTTGTTGGGACTTTGAATTTTGACTTTGTAGATTGATCCAAGAAATGAGTTGTAGGTGTATCTTACAGACTGCTTGCTTTTTCAATCACTCTAGCTGTGGTTGTTCTGCTAAGCTGGTATTTCTTTGTTTTGTTTTCTGTTTTAGATGGCTGCTCAAGTGTTCATAGTTGCAATAACTGTTTTTAGAATATAATGATTGTATGAATATGACCTGAAGTATCGCTGTGTCGGTATTTGTACTAGAAAATTACCACAGCACAAAGGTTCATCATCGGCAAGTAGAAAATACTGCAGATTTAAGGATACTTAAAAATCTTCGATCCTTAGTTATCACGTGGTTAATTCTTTCTTCTGGTCTAAAAACTAAATTGTAGCTGGGGAGGCGCATGTTTAAATCATATCCTGGAGAACGCTTGAGCTTACTTCTAAGCATGTACATAAGTTACATAGGTTCAGTGACTCAGAACTGCTTGAATCTCATGCAGTGTCAGACTGACTGCATAAACAAGAGTTGTAATGTAAATACTGCAGTAAATAAGATAAATATGGGTCTGGTTTTCTGTGAATTTATCACTGATTTTGACTTCTGCAGGCACTTTCTGGTATGAAAAGTAATTTTTTTTTTTCAAGGAAACATTCAACTAATTTTATAATATACTGAAATGTATTAAGTTACACGAAAGAATCCATATTATAGTAATCCCACATATATATGGGAAAGGAGCATGGAACGTGCATGGCAGATGGTTTCAAAGGAAATCCTCGAGAGCTGGGATTAAAAAGCAATTTTCAGCAAGTTTAAAATGGGTCTCCATATTTGGGTCACAGATATTAACTCCTTCATTGCAAACAAATGAGAGAGGAGTCTTGTAGGGCTGTTATGGAAATGTTTCTCTCAACTAGAGCTGACCAGTATTGCAGTGCCAAAGGAAGAAATGAGATGTTGATTCTGGTTACAGTCCTGCTGCTCTGGCCGTTGCAGGAAGTGGAGCTGCAGTGTGCAGAGACAAGGTCTGCTGCCAGTTAATGGGTGTCGTTGTTTGGCTAAGGATCACTGGTAACCTCATTGGTAACCTGATTGAAAACAATTTATTTGTGGCTTCTTCAGTTTTTGGCTTCCCACCCACACAGATTTAAACAAAGTCAAATGTTGCAGAATAAAATGCTCTTATGGAGTGGTATTTTTGTTGTTCAGAAGCTGGAATTTTCAAGGACACCTGAGGTATAAAGCTTATGGTACCTAAATGCTACTTTGCTTCAGGTTTCTGAGCTCTGTTCCTTGCACTGATTTTATTCATCTTTAGGTCAGAATTCTGCATTTTTCTATGCCTCAGACACGTGTGGATAATCCCCTTCCTTCTCCAGCTACCTGTCACTTTTCTTCAAAACTTTCTGGTGTGTTGCTTTTGGTGTGTTTAAAAAATACCAGTTTCCATGCAACAAATTTGTTTTTTGTTTGACCTAATGATAAATAAGAAATTGAACAGCTATGCAAGAATGTCTTATTCAGTCCTAAATACCAGTGAACGTGGGCTATGAGTTTTGCTTGAAGTATGTATGCTTACAAATGGCAAACAAGCCCGTGTGTTCTCTGACATTGTTTTAGGAGGGCACTTTATTTACTTTTAAAATTAAGCAGTAACCTTGGTTATATTCTAATGTAAACAGTACCATGCAAACATTGTTCCAGGCTGCAGCTCTTCACATCAGTGTTTGAATATCCAGGAATATCATCAATATCATGCATAAAATTGAGTGCAGTTTGACTTAGGTTTCTGAGGTCCAGAGAAGCCACTGGGTCTGTAGCTGGTATAAATAGCACAGCAAGTTGGGGATTATTGGCTTTAGCCAACTTACACCAGCTAGTAAACATGTTAGGAATGTAATTCACACATCAGTGCTCCTTTATCCGCTTCTCACAGTGTGAAGGGGAGTTATCTGACATGGGCTGAATTCTTTTAAAGGCTCCTATAATTCTGAGGCAGAAATTCAAGTTGAACTCTGAGTAATGTTTATCACTATATAGTGATATGCAGGAACTACTATTAGTTTGTGTTCACAAAATTGAGTTCTGAGTACTTTGAATAGATTTGCTCAGCTTTCTCAGCAGAGGTGTCTGATGTTCTGCTAAGTGAATTATAGAATTAATTGCTGGTTTAAATTTCAGCCCATGGGGAAGTTAATTGGGTTGCTCTTTGGCTATTATATTAGCTGTATGTTAACAGCGAAGGACAATATACTTGTGAAAGGGCATCATAAATGTCCTACTGGGATAACTAACTACAGATATATCTATGGACTGTTAATTAATGCTTGCTAAATAATAGGCATTTTCTTCAGGACTGATCAGCTCTATCAGAGGTCCTATCTGCTCTTTAGAAAATAAAATTCTAATGGATGAAAATGATAATATGAAATACTAGCTAGTGTTCAGCTCTTCCACCAAAACCAGAAAGCTTCAGTTGTCTCATGATTGTTTCTTAACTGAATTTGAATCTGCTCTCCAGCATTTCCTGTAAGAACTTTCTGTATGCATCTTGATACAGTGAGACTTAGCTTCATGTAACCTTACTAGGTGCTTTTATTTTAGTATAATTAGTGTTTCAGATGATTATTCCTGCACAAAATAAATTTAGTCTTTCTTTATAAGTTGCCCCAGATTACATGGAGGCAATAGGTTTAAAAAAAAAAACAAACAGAAAAACAAAAAAAACCACCAACCAACCAAAGAAAACCAACAGACAGACTGAAGGCTGTGTGAGCTGGTACAACTGATTACTTTCCACCCACCCCCAGTTCTTTGAGACCTACTAACATCCTTGCAAAGAATGGAGTTTGTTGATGCCTGATGAGATGAGGTCTGAGCATAAAGATGTGTATTATAGGCCTTAGCTGCCAACAGAGCATCTCCTATAGTCATAACTCAAATGCAACTTTTAATGCTGTTATTCTTGGAACCAGCGTTTCCAATTTGTGCCTAAATTCAGTATCCCAAGCTGTTGTCAGCCGTTATGTGGCCAAGTTATGATATTAATTGAAACAATTCTAGATTTTTTTTCCCCGATGCCAAAAGTCCCTTTGATCATAATTCTATAAATGCAGTTCAGAATTTTGACTTAGATTTTTCAAAACCTGTCCTTCAAATGAAGTCATGTAGATCAGTTCAGGTTCTGCTGTTGCTGGTACCTTCCAGGACTTTGCTTTCAAGTTGCTTTTTGCATGTTTGTTGAAGTAGCAGATGATCTGAGCCATTTGTCTTTAGATGCATGTTAGAATCCTTTCTCTTCAACAAACTTGCATCAACTTCTAAATAAAGGAATCAGTGTTGATTTTTAGAGAACTAGTCTACCTGATTCACTTTGCTCACTGTGCAATCAAGTATTTGATAAAGCAGGATTTTCTCATACAGAGTTGAATGTCCATCCACGATGGAAGGAGGAGTAAGCTGATGCACACAACCAGAATTTATAAGTTTCGTGGGGGGAGGAGATGAGAAAGAGTCCTGAATTCTCCCAGGCTAAATGTGAGTCATTGAATCTACAGCGAGGTGCAACTCTAAAGCAATATGGTATGCTGTTAGAATGTTTAAAAATAGTATAAAAGGGAAAATTCTCAGATGCTGTTTGAATGTTCTACGTTATCTTTGTTGTGAATCACATTTTCAATTAAAATAGTAACTGTTGGGGAAGATAATTCTAGTTCTTTGCAGCCTTCTGGAAGCTAATTCCTAACAGCAGAGGTTGGTCATGCAAGCAGGGTATTTGATAACTTGTTCCTGTGCCTCTTCCTTCAGAAGGGTATTTGAGCATTTTGGAGGGGACTGCAGCACTATGGTGACAGCAATGGAAAGCCAGCTAACCCAGTAGTAGTTCTTCAGTTTTAATCAGAGGATGCTAGGGTGTTATAATGTTGTTAAATGCGCTTTTCCAAAGCAGAATTGTGCTGTTACAAATATGTAATTCTCTATGAAATTGTCTTTTTTTCAGAGTTTTGAGTACTGGAGATTATAGTTCTTAAGTTAGTTAAATTCTTTCTTATGTGCAGAAATAGGAAATAATGAAGGTTTGGTTTCACTGAGTGCTTTGGAATTACTCTATGTATTTTTGGTAGTGTATACTTATTAAAAATGCTTTTAGTAGATTACTGAAAGCAATGAAACCTATTCATCTCAAGGCTGTGAATTCACTTTTAATGTAACTAGTTGATGAAAGTGAAATCTTACATGCTGATAAATATGAAATTTGTGCTGTAGATGGATTTGTGCTCTTCTTATTGGTGGTACTTTAAGTAGTGAGTTGGGGAAAACCAGATAATGGAAATTGATTCTTCTCTGCAGGTCTCACTTACTGTTGGACTTCAGCAGACCTGATCTGTGAAGATAATCAAGGTTCTTTTGCTCTGAGTGCTGTAAGTGATTATTTTCTTTGGTTTTATGGCAATCACTAGGAGCCCATTTGTCCCATGTAGAGAAAAAGGTGAAAATGCCGAATCACAAATAAATGATGAAAATGAAGTTGTTGCAGATTAGTTATGACTGTACGTGTAGTCTGGAAGTCATTCCTGCAAACATTTTATGGTTAGGAGCACTCCTCTTTTCCCCTCTAGCTGTGCTGACAAAGGCAGTAGCAGAATCCTAATTTCGAATTGTCACTGAAGATACCAACATAAACAATATTTTGATAGGTTCTCAGGATAACAGATGGATTAGCAATTTGAGTATGGTGCAGGGAATGTGCTGTTTCTGTGTATGTTGTATTTGACTGAGTGTGAACACCTGAAGAATTGGTAGTGTCTTAGCCAGAAAATTCTTGTTGGGAAGTCAGAGGGGTGATAAAGCTTGAATGGAAGAACAGTGATGTTGGGTGATGGTCCTAGCTGTTATTTAGTATAAGTTGGGTGATGTGATAACATAATAGGAGACATTTAAAATGTCTTTGTTTCGAGCTTCTTGCAGTAGCAGACTTGCTTGCTTTAAATCCTGCAAATCTGGAAGAATGTCTTCTGGAGCATCTGGGAAATGGCCCCTGTAGTAGAGGGAATCCAGCAATTGTCTGGTGCGTTCCTGCAGGGAGACTGGAAACAATGTTATGTTTTTGACCTTGTTTCAGCATTGCTTTTGTATTTTTTAACACAGTTGCTATTCTCAGAGGGGAGAAAACATACAAAATTCTCTTCTTACCCCCCATTTTTTTCACCCCGATTCTGTAAGAATTTCCAGACTTGCAGAACAAAGAGGTTGGAACTAATTACATAGCCAACATCTGCACTGGGCTTAGTTATTAAGAGAATATTTAACATAGATGCTAAACTATTTTCTGAAAAGAGAGCCTTGCCTATACACTTCTTCAGGGATGAGGGTAGTCTCTTCATTTTTGGTTCATTAAAGACATTTCCTTGATCAGTTAGTCAGAGTCTTGTTGGAAAGGAAAATAATTTTGCTTTTTAAATATCAAAATTTAGTTAATGGCTCATCAGGCTATTTGTAACCAGCTACATTGGAGGTTATGATAGTGTATCACTTCAGTTCCAATGGCAGACACATCACATATGGATTGCCATTTTGATGACTTTGAATGATAATCTGACCCATAAAAACTGAAGCATAATATGCAAACCGATTTTTTTGGACTGCCTTATTCTTGATGCCATCTGTGTTGGGATGGAGATGAGCCTGCTCAAAATGTGGCTTGCCAGTTTTAAGCAGAGTGGTAGTGCCAATCACAGATGGAATTAAAAGAATAGCCACATGTAAACAAGGAAAGAAGGATGATTCTCCTGAAAGCAGGAAGTGTCACTTTAAAGCATACTGTGTCTGTTAAATCCTGTGGCCTATGGAACATCTATCAGACTTTTCTGCAAGTTCTTCATAGGGACAAAGTAACCTCAAGTGTCTTTCTAAAATAAAAAATGAACCCTTAGCTTCCAAATGTTGCTCTTTCACTAGTGTTGCCTTCTATCCCTGTCAAGTATATGCAGGATATCCATGCAACAAAATCAATTACAATATATTATTTTGTAAGATTTGCGTTCTAAACTTGTTGTGTGAATCCTGCTGAAGTCATTGTATTTGGTGTGCTGGGCCACTATTTCTGAGTTCTTGTCCTTGACAATTAACAAAGATCTATCTTGCAGCTGAAGGTGAGTATTTGTCTTTCTGCAGTATCTATACTCAAAACATAAGGTGTTAAGCTCCCAGTTTTCACTGTAGTCCATGAGGTCTATCTTCTGCTCAGTTTGAGAGCCTGAGCTTTGAAGTTTAATGACCTTGTCTTAGGTGAAACCACAAGTGTATCTTGTATTGTTTATAATACAAAAATACATGAAATGATTTTCGCTGGTTACAAATATAGTCTACAGAAATCTCCTTTTTTTATCCTTTCTTAAATAGATTACATTGTTTGAGCTACCATACCCTTTTGCAGCAGGGAAGCGTGTAAAAGAAGCCACTCATCAATGATGCCATGTTCTTGACACTTGAACATCCCTTCAGAGCTCTTTCAGTCTTTTATTTCCAGGCTAAATAAGCACCAATTTCAGTGGTATTTTATCTACTCCCTTTAATTACTGCTGTGGAGAGAGTTTCTGCTGATGCAAATGTGTTATTTTGTCATGTCACATCAAATTGCATCAGCCTTATATTTAGGAACAGAAAGAGGGGGAGGCAGAGACAGGATGTGGCTACAAATTGAACTAAAGGGTTTTCTTCAATACAGGCTGAAAATAGACAATTGAGGCAGCGATGCTTTTTCAAGCAGTAATCCATGAAAGGGAAAATCAAATCTGTGACGGCAGAAGTGAAAAGCAGGCTGAGGGTGTGAGAAGGAGGAGTTGTAGATGGAGGTGTGGGCTGGTGTCATGGACAAGCAGATGAACTAATTTATGCTAACACCCCTTACACTGGCTGGTTGGTGAGAAGTAGCTTTAGAATGTCAGACCACATACAGTTATTCTATTTCCTTGTGTGCAGGCTAAAACGTTCTAGCCCTGTTTCTTTTCTCTTTGTTGCTGGGCATGCCACTTGCCCTTTCCTTTGTAATTATTTCACCTTTAGAGATAATTTGGTAGATAAGCATCCATAGATGCTTATTTTCACCAACCAAAATTTTAGCTAGTGACTTTAATGTAGTTTTTAGTGCTACAACCAGTGTTTTCCTGCAGAAATTCTGGTAGAAGAATGAAATCCTCCAAATACAATTCTAATACTGGTACAATACTGATATTCCAAGTTATGCTGGGCAGAAATTCTTTTATGGCAATATATAGTATTTCAGTTTGCTTCTGTTAACTACCTCCAGTAATAACTCTCAGTTCACATTTCTTTTATTGTTTTTCCTTCTCAAGGAGCTTTGGATCAGATCTTTGGTAATTATTCTTCTACCTTTGCCCTACCTCTACTGTACTTCTGAAGCTCTACTGATGGATGAGAAAACTGGGCATGGATTTTTCAGTCCTGGTCCAGCAACAGGACAAAATAAAAGCAAGCCCCTACAGATAGAATAAGTAGAACAAATTTTGTCACTGTATGATCGGTATCAAGCCAGTATCAGCTGGGCAAGCTGTTAACAAAAATGCCAAATTAAAACTAAATTGTGATACATAGAGAAAAATTTACAGTAACTATTCAAGTGAATATTCAAGTGCTTTTTCCCAAATAATATTTATATTCTTGAAGCAAGTAATTCTGGTTCTTCAAAAAATACAATAGTATATTGCCCATGGAAAATGTCTTTTGCCCTCTCAGAACTGGATGGAAAATGAAAATAAAAATCAAATTAATCAAATTAATTAAAATCAAATGCATAAGTTATACATGTGATGCAGTGTGCCTTGAAATGTTGAGGCTGATTGGAAGCTGGCAATTAAATTCTGAAAAAATGTCTGTTTGAGAAGCATCAGATCTCCGGGTGTGGATGTGGGCTGGAGGCGTAGTGGTGGCACTTATTTCCCAAATTAGAAAAAGTAATATTCATTTCTTACAGCTAGGTGCTTGGATTTTCTTCTTGGAAACAATTGGTGACTTCTAGAGATATTTTTATTCTTGTCACCAAGGATAATAAAAATGCATTAGAAGTGTAGAAGCTTGTTTATTTACAACATTGACAGATGTAAAAACAAAGCAGTATTTCACACTGAAACTAGACAGGCTGAGGTACCCAGCTCTTCATAACCAAGTATTATCAGTCCTCCCAAACTGTAAGATATCAAAGTGATGCTGTCATATGATCTCATAATTTTTGAATTCTTTATAACTGGAAAACAAACACCCATGGTGCTACATCCATATACCTAGTGAAGCCTGATGAAGGCAAGGTTTGCCTTGGGCTTTAAGTACAAAACTGGTTCATAGGTGCGTGGTAGTCTGTGCTCACCGTGAGCAGGTTCACAACTGGGAAAAGGGGCACAGTGCTGACTTACAGTGTGAGGAGGCTTATGGCTTAGACACAGTTGCAGTATTTGGTGTTCTGCCGTGTGTGACTCTTATATTTGGTAAATGCATCTCTTCTCCATGGCATCTGGCGAGGCCATGAAGAAGCATTCCCAGTAGTGAAGGGAGGAGGTGAGAGAATCCTGTATGGATTCTAGTAATACTTCAGGAATTTTATGTGAATGAATGCTTTGTTGTTTCACTTCCAGGTTCACGTACTTCCCAGCATTTAAGACAATCACGTCAAATTTTTCTTCCTTATGATTTTTTTAAGCTCATGAGAAAATTAAAAATGTTTCAGTAAACTATATTTTCTTAGGAAAGAATGCAGTATTATTGTACTTCTTTCAAAGTAAATCACAGAAATATTAAATAAAGAAACAGCTGCTTTATAGTTGGCACATTTGTTTTGAATTGAGTAAGTCTGGAAAATATTAGATTAAAACTGCAGATCAAATAAAGAGTCTGCAAGCTTTCTCCAGATTGTTCATCAAAAAAAAAAAAAACACCAACAACCCAATTGACAACACTGCATCAAGAAAATGTTTTTAATTAATGTCTTTAGTTAAAAGAAAAGCATTGTGGCTCTCAAACATATTATTAAATCTGTATTGTGTAGTTGATAGGATGGGAGAAGACGCTTGCAGAGTGCTGCGTCAGATTTATCAGGGCATGTTTTAATTCTAGATCACTTGCTGGATTTCGCAGCTATTTGTCTGTTGTTGGGATAATTTGGAGGGCTGAGTAAAGCCAGATGACTGTAATGAACTCATTTTGTCTTTTTCTTATTCTGGAAAGAAAAAAGAATCTATTTATAGGGTATTGTGTATGGTTAGGACTTCTGTTCTTCTTGTTTCTCCAACTTTCTCTGGGCCATTGTCTTTGTGCCATCACCAATAATTACATCAAATTAATTCAACATAATTGAGTTAATTATTAGATATGAAAGTTAGCACTGTGACTTCCATTGAACCAAAGCTTT